GTCCAAGGCTTTTAAAAATATATGTGTGTAATAGTTGTATTTTAATGTGATCTTGCTGTGACTAACGTATGAACTTTGCCATTAAGTGAGACAATTACAAGAGCAGTAAATCCTGCCAAATATTTATGGTGCTGCAACAGAACATGACCTCAGATCACTTTTCTCTGGCCTCTTGTCTCCCACGGTTTTCCTTTCTCTAGGGCCTAGGTATTTGTTTATGCTTCATGTGCCACATTTTGGTGCCTACTTCTTTTTTCAGCTCTGTCTCTTGGTGTCTCTGAGGTTAAGCGGAGTGAAGGAGAATTCCAGAATCCCCAGATCCAGCCATTCCTTATCCAAGACCAGTTCATTCTCTGATTCCAGTTCAAGAAGCAATTGCTAAGTCTCTATCATCATCCCAGCCTCCTCCGAACGCATTCTACTTCTCACACACCGGAAAGCACAGGAGTTAATAAGACAGGCTTTCGAGGTGGAGAGACTGGGGTCAGAATTCCGGCTGTGTTGTTTATAATGATCTGTGTGATCTTGGACAAGTTCCTTAATCTTCTTTCTTTTTTTTTTAAAGTTTTATTTATTTGAGAGAGAGAATGAGACAGAGAGAGAGCACATGAGAGGGGGGAGGGTCAGAGGGAGAAGCAGACTCCCTGCTGAGCAGGGAGCCCGATGTGGGACTCGATCCTGATGTGGGACTCGATCCCGATGTGGGACTCGATCCCGGGACTCCAGGATCATGACCTGAGCCGAAGGCAGTCGCTCAACCAACTGAGCCACCCAGGCGCCCAAGTTCCTTAATCTTCTTAAATCTTTGCTTCCTCATTTGTGAAATGGGACTGATAGCACCTGTTGTAGGGGTTATTACAGAGAAGAATCGAGCTTAGGAGCCATTCAGTTTCCAGCACATGGTGGGCTCTTAGTAAATGTTAACTCTTATTATTCTTACATAATTCTTTCCCATGTTTTACTTCAGAATTAGAATCTTTATAAAAACCCCACACTGTAATGTCCATTTCACCTATGTCAGCCTTGGAGTAAAATCAGGGCAGAATCCTTAGTCAGGGACGACGCTGTGAATAAAAGAGCTGCCAGATACGCATTAATTCATTCCACCAACAATTATTTTTCCAGCATGTACATTGTCCTTGGATTATTAACAGTTTGTTTACAAGTGGTTTTTTGGGGGTTGTTATTGTTTGTAAGTCTATAGCAGGGAACGATTATGCTCTGAGGGTCATGCGAAAGAGACACGAGACTGGATTCTCAAGGAGCTTTTACTCTTGTGGAAAAAACATAAGGCAATCCATGAAGGCATACTGCAGGGGCAAAGATCGTTCATCAGCAGGAGGCAATAGGCACAATGCCCGTTCTTGGAGGGTTCGAGAATGAGCACAAGCAGTATGGCTCCAAAACACTGGTGGAGAGAATGAGTAATGAGTGAATCAGTGGTTGAGTGACGGTTGTTGACAAGGACACTTGGCTTCAGTCCAATGTGCTCCCAGGCCCCTCCCTGGGAGACCGTAGGTAGACTGCTGTGGGGACCAAGACTACTGGTCACGTTCAGCATGCCCAAGGGCACGTTAGTTTATAAAGGATTAGATAGAGCTAGAAACACACCTTAATCCTCCTCACAGCCCCACCTGTGACTTCCTGTGGGTGTAATTGCTCCAGGACTCACCTCCCCTCGTCTACACCCACCTGGTCCTCCCACAGAGATACTGTGTAACTGGTGTTTCTGCAGCTGTCAACAAACCCTGCTGGTCCCTTCAGCTTGAACCTTAAGCCCTTGGGATTTTCCGAGAGATCCTTTGTAAAGAATGTCAGAGAGGGACAATCTAATTCTCTTAGAAATAGCCACTACCCTGGGCAGAATGAGTAGGTTCAACTAAATAACATTAGGTACATAAAAATTGGAGCTTGTTCCTAATGGTGTGCTTATACTCTGGTACTGGGCAAGATGAACATTTCTTTAAAAATCTCCCCAAAAGGATTATCGTTATTTCATAATAAATGTTCTTTTATTACACATACACACACTCTCTCAGTCTAAATATGTTTATTTTGTTGTTTTATTTTTTTATTTCAGTGAAAGCTTGTTCTACTTTATTGATTGACTCTAATTAGGAACACTAGGTCTCATGGAACAGAGACTTGCTTTATATATCTTAAGTCAATAGTAAGATGGGATCCGATACTAGGGATTTGAAACAAAGAATGTGTGGAAAGGGGATGTAAAAATAAAATCTAGTGGCTTTACATTTTTTTTTTTGAAGTGTTTAAGAACCTTGATCATTTGAAAAATTTATATACACAAAATTCTCATTTTGGGGATAGAGTTCTGTATGTTTTAATGCATGCGGAAACCTCTATAACCACCACCACAAACAGGATACAGAATAGTTCGATCACCAGAAAAAATTCCCTTCTGCTACCCCTGTGAGTCCCACCTCTCCCCACCAGTCCCAACACCTGGTGGTCACTGCGGAGCTCTCCATCGCTATAATTCTGCCTTCCCAGAATATCATATAAATGGAACAATTCAGGATGCAATCTTTTGAGACTGGTTCCTTTCACTTAGTATAGTGCAGGTGAGATTCATCCATGTTTTGTATGTGCTCATTCTTTTTTATTGCGAAGAGCTCTATCGTTGTATGGATGTACCATATATCTTTAATTCATTTAGCTATTGAGGGACATTTTGGTTGTTTCTAGTTTGTGTCAATTATGAATTATGCTGCCATGAACATTCATGTACAGGTTTTTGTGAGAACCTAAGTTTTCATTGCTCTAGGATAATACCCGGGAGATGACAAGTGTGTCTTATGGCTAGCTTATATTTGACTTTTTATGGAATTACCAAACTGTTTTGTCAGAATGATGTATAGTTCTGCATTCTCCCTGACAATGTATGGGAGTTCCCGCTACTCTGCATTCTTCCTACCACAGGGGGTTATCACGTGTGTAGTATTTTCACCATTCTAATAGGTATGTTGGGTTATCACGTTATTTGTATTTCCCTACTCAGTGACGATGTTGGTCATCTTTTCATGTGCTGATATGCCATTGGCGTGTCTCCTTTGGTGAAATGTTTATTCAGATTCTTTTTGCTAATTTTTAATTGGGTTGTTTGTTTTCTTATTTGTGAGGTGTAAAAATTCTTTACAAACTCTGGATACAAGTTCTTTATTTCCTCCTCTTCTTATTTCTGGAAGAGATTGTATAGAATTGGTATTCTTTCTTTCTTCAAGGTTTGGTTGAATTCATTAATCAAGACATCTGGGCTTGGAGGTTTTTTTTAGGGGGAGTGTATTTTCAACTATAAATTCAATGTCTTTAGCGTATATGGGACTGTTCAGGTTATCTCCTCCTTCTTGAATGAATTTTGTTAGTTGTGTCTTTGAAGATCTGGTTCTTTTAAGTCTCCAATTTATATGCAGAGAGTTTGCCTATATCCTTCTTTAATTATCCTTTTATGGCTGTGAAGTTTGTGGTGCTATCCCATCTTTCGTACCTGATACTGAAAATATATAGCTTCTCTCTTTCTCTCTTCGCAAACCTAGCTAGAAGTTTATCAATTCTGTTGATCTTTTACAAGAATTAGCTTTTGGTTTCACTGATTTTCTCCATTGTTTTGTCTTCTTTCAGTTTCATTAGTTCTTTTTCTTGTATTTATTATTTTATTCCTTCTTGCTTTAGGTTTTGCAGGTTTCTTAAGATACAATCTTAGATTTGAGACCTTGATTTCCTTCTAAACAACATTTCAAACATAAATTTCTTTCTAAGACTACATTAGCTGCATCCCACAAATTCTGATACATTGTATGCTCATTTACATTCAGGCCAAAATATTTTCTAATTATCTTTGAGACTTCTTTATTGACCAATGAATTTCTTAAAGTGAATTGCTTAATTTCCAAATATTTAGAGGTTTTCCAGAAGCATTTTTTATTGATGTAATTGTTTCTATTATGGTCAGAGAACATATTTTGTACTGTTTCATTCTTTTATTTTTTTTAATTTTTAAAAAGATTTTATTTATTTATTTTTTTATTTATTTATCAGAGAGAGAGCAAGCACAAGCAGGAGGAGTGGCAGGCAGAAGGAAAAGCAGACTCCCCGCTGAGCAGGAAGCCCCATGCAGAACTCCATCCCAGGACCCTGGGATCATGATCTGAGCTGAAGGCAGATGCTTAATCGAGTGAGCCACCCAGGCATCTCTGTTTCATTCTTTTAAATATAGTGCTTGCTTTGTGACCCAGAATATGGTTTGTTTTGGTGAATATTCCATATGCACTTCAAAATAGTGTGCATTTTGTTGTTATTTAGATAGGATATTCTATAAAAATTCATTTGGCCAAATTGGTTGATAGTTATTGTTTAGGTCTTCTATGTTCGTACTGATTTGTTGTTGTTGTTGTTGTCGTCTATTTGTTCTATCAATTACTAAGAGAAAAGTTTTGTAGTATCTAACTGCAATTATGATTTGTCTCTTTCTACTTTCAGTTCTATCAGTTTTGCTTCATGTATTTTGAAACTCTGGTATTAAGTATGTATACATTTAGAGTTGTCATATCTTTTTTTTTTATTTTATTTATTTGAGAGAATCAGGGAGAAAGAGAGAGAGAGAGAGAGAGAGAGAGCACGAGCAGAGAGAAGGCCAGAGGGGGGAAAATGTACCATTTTATAATAAGTTTTGTGTTTGCTCTCTTTTTTCCCCTGTCAAATCTATTAGATTATTTGAAGATTTCCTCCCATTACATTTTATCTATTGGCTCTTTACTATATCTCTTTGTATAACTTTTCTAGTTGCTGCTTTCAGAGTGGTTACAACATACATACCTAACTTTTCTTAATCTGCTTAGAGTTCACAGTTTGCCCCTTCAAGTGAAGTATAGAAACCTTAACACTATATAAATCGCTTTACCTTCACCCTTTGTGTCGTATTGAATCTGAATATATTGAAAACCCCATAAGACATGTTATAATTTTTGCTTTCAACAATAATACGAAAGTATGGATATTACACAGATTTGCATGTCACTCTCTCACTGGGGCCATGCCCATCTTCTCTGTATTGTTCCAGTTTAGTATATGTGCAGCTGAAGTGAGCGCTGAAGATGTTTTTGAAGCCCTTTGCTGGTAAATATTTATCCAAAACTTGTGCCAACTTTGTGAAACTATGATTATTAAAGCACCGTCTATGATCAAGAAGGTGTTTTTCTCTGGACAAAGCTGTAATTGACTCTAACCAGTTATGATTTGACATTAAAGGGTACAAAATGAAGACTTTTGATCCTGAACTAAAGCAGAATGTGGAACTGAAAATTAGAAATATGCACAAAAATATTTTATCACCAAAGCTGACCTTTTTGTTTGTTTTGCAACATGAATGTTTATAATATCAAAACTACCAGTTGTCTGGAAGGATGTCCAAATGGATGGTATTATCTAGAAATTATAAGACAGCTGGTCCATTTTCCAATAAGCAGTAGATACGTGGAGAAGATGAAATAGAAGACAACTCTGCTAGGTTTGGAATTAAGGAGAGCGGAGATCATACTGGACATTGTTTAGATCATACCCAAGAAAATGATTGCACAAGTGTGCGATCTTTCATCTAAAAATAAATAACCCTCAAAGGCATTTTATGCATATAATTTTATTTACCTCTGCCACGTTTGCTATTGCAAATACTGTCCAGAGTCCAGAGCAGGGAAGTGATGAGTCTGTGCGGCATGCAGTGAAGGTATCCGTCTCCCTCTGTGCCCTTGTCCTTCCCAGAGCATGCAGCCATTGGCTTAGAAGGTACAGCTGTGAAGGTGACTGATCTCTAAAGGCTTTGGTGATGTAAGCCCGAAACCAAGGAGGAGGAGAGGGCACTGAAACCTCACCTTGACTGAGTTGTAGTGTTCAGTGACGGTTGCAAACTTGGGCTTGGTGCCTGTTTCTTCAGTGAGAAGGAAGCATTTGTACTTGGACTTTGTGGGGAACCAGCCTGCCATCAAGGGTGATCAGGATACCTAGCCATCTTCTTCACCTGTCAGATGCCCCACCAGTCAGGAAGGTTCAGCCCAAGTGCCTTCTGCTTTATGAGGCCTTTCCCTCTACCCACCCCAATTGCGGTGAATGATCTATCTGCATGCTGATTGACAGAGCTCTTGCGTCTGCCCAATTCATGTGACAGGCGTTGTCTTCCTTCCATGTGACTGCTATCGGGAAATGGATCTTAATCTCCATTTAGACCAGGATGGTGTCTTTGTTTCTTTAAAGTGACTTACCCAGTGTGCACTAAATTGGAGAGAGTAGTTGAAAGCACCCGCTCGGTCCTTCTGTGTTCAAATCCACCATTTTCTAGCTGGATGTCTAGGGACAAGTTACTTAAATACTTTAAACCTCTGTTTCCCCACCTTGAACACTGAGATAATAACACTACTTGTAAAGACGCAACAAGTGAAGATGTAGAGTGCTGAGCATTTTTGTCTGGTACATAATACGTACTATTACCTATTTTTATTATTAAGTGATTGCTTTTTTTTCTTACAAAGCAGTGAAATACACACATATTTGTGAGCAAGGCAAGCCAGAACACAAACAGGACTCGCAAAGAGAAGGCAGAGAAAACAAACAAAAATTGACCAGATTTCAGATGCAAAAGATTTAGTACCTATTTTTAAATGAAATGAAAGGGGAACACAAATCGGTACAACCACTCTGGAAAACCATCTGGCAGTGTTTATTCAAGAAGAACATTCTCATACTCTATAACTTATAAATTCCACTTGTAAGTATATACCCAACAGAAAAGTGTCCATGTATCACCAAAGGATGCTTGATAGAATGTTCATAGCAGCAGTATCCATGGTAGTCCTTAACTGGAAACTATGCCCATGTCCATCAACTGAAAAATGGATACATAAATTGTGGCCATGAAAATGGATGATTTACAGCTACACACAACAGAATGGATGAATCTCACAAATGTCATGGTGAGCAAAGGAAGCCAGACATCAAGGAGTATATTAGGCGTCTACTATAAGATTCCAGGCAAAACTCACCTGTGTTGTTACAAGTCAGGATAATGGTCACTCTGGAGGAAGAGGGGAGTAGAAGGGGAGGAAAGGAAGAGAAGAGAGACCAGGAGGAGCTTCCAGACTAACATTTTATTTCCTCATCTGGTGTTCCATATGGGGCTTCAGTTCATTGAACTGGACACTTACGTGCATTTTTCCACATGTGTATCATACTTCACTGCAAAACAGAGAACAGAAATAAGAATAGGAAAGCAAGGAAAGGAAAGAACAGGAAAAGAAAGGGAAGAAAAAACAAGCCCAGAAGACGAGAAAGACTTCGGTCCTTGCTCTGGCTGCACCTGACCAGGTTGGCTCACTGCTCTACCTTACACACCAGCCCTGCCCACCCCCATCCCGTGCTCTACCCCATTTGCCCAGCATGAGGATGGCTTGTATTTAGAGGGGTCCTCTCTTTCCCTGCCCCCTCTCCACAGCTCCTCCCCACCCTGAGCACTGCTAAGGGAGGACGGGGCTTTCCTGGTGGGCATAACACTAGTAGTGGAGGAACTTGGAGGAGCTAAAGCATCATTAATGAAACCTAATACTTAAAGCTATCTTTCCTCTCCTCTCTTCCTCTTCGCCTGGACTCCCTCTCCCTCCCTGGACCTTTCCCAGAAGGTTCCCCGGGTCCTGTGGCGGTGCCAGTCCGGCTGGGCCGCGCCTCGGGTCCTGCGGGGTTGCGGCGGGGGGGGGGGGGAGGGGGGGGGGGCAGGGGCCAGGGCAGAGGCCTCGCTCGCAGGGTGCCCCTCCCGCCCCGCCCCGCCCGGGCTGACCCCGCCCCGCGGCCTCGGGCTATTTTGGGCTCGTTGGCGGCGACGCGGGGATCGCTGACAAGCGCGGATCCTGTGACACCTCCCTGCAGCCCGGCACTTGTTGCTCCGGGGGACCTGCTGCCATCCCTGAACCCACCTTTCCCCCTTGCCCCCTGTCCCCTCTGGCTTCCCTCCTTTGCATGTGATCTCTCCGGACACTGATCTCTCAGACCCCGCCGAACCCGGCTTGGGAAATAGATTTGAAAATACTAATACTAATACTACTACTACTACTACTACTAATAACAAGCACCGCTCATCAAGAAGGGCCCCGCAGGGCAAGAGCGCAGAGCGCTGGCCCCGGGCACCGCTGAGGTGGCGCCTCCCCGGCCCGGGACGCTGGCCCCGGGCGCCGACGGCATGATGGACGCGGCGACAGCTAACGGGGACGACAGGGACCCCGAGATCGAACTCTTCGTGAAGGTAGGTCGGCGTCCCGGCGCCCGTTGCACCTGTCGCGCCTGCAATCGGGCTCCCCGCGGCGCGGGCTCACGTGCCTGGGCGGACAGACCCGGGACTCTCGACCCTCCCCAGGGAGGACAGCTCGGCCCTAGCGCTCCCTTGGGTGGCCTTTCTGCACTCCAGACAGTCTCGCTTCGGGGCTCCCGGGTGTCGCGGAGTCAGGTGCAATCCGGCAGGTGGCCGTCTTCTTGGAGAGTTGGCCGTCAGTTTGTTAAACCTGCGGCAGACCAGGCGGATTAGTCCTGAGCCCTGCCCGGTGCGATTTTGGCTACTCCTAAAGGACATCTTGAGGTATATGGAGATGGCAGGACCCATTAACCTTTCTTCTAAAACTGGGGGGCAGGGGGTAAGAGAGGGGAGGGTAAGAAAAGGAAACCTTACGGATACAATTCTCTTTGGCAAGATAAAAATAACATTTCTTCAAACGTCCTTTCTCTCTTTTGCTCAGAGCTACTTCAAAGAAAAGCAGAAGGAAACAAAGGTGCTTCTTGCTTTGTGACCCGCAAAGCAGAAAACAAGCACTCTTTTCGCCCAACATTACTATTATTGGCATACTCGTGATTCCGCAGGGTAGTATCAGGAAATGCTAAGGGTTTGGCCATGGGGAAAACCCAGGTCAACCCCCCGGGGCAGAATGGGATGAAAGAGCACAGCGAACAAACTTAAATTAAGTCGCCTTTCTCCCTGGGGAAACAATCTACCGTCAAAACTGCTGCACTCCATTTGCAACCTGTAGGAGGGAAAAGGATGGAGGCCAGGGAGGCGGCGGCGTTTCCCGGTCGGTAGGCTGGTGGTGTGGTGTAAGAAAGAAACATTTGATCAGTCCTCGTTGTGGCTGACACACCGCAGAAACCGGGAAACCTGAGGCGGCAGGAGAGTCGCCTCCTGGGCGGTGCAGAAAGCCTCTCCAGGACTTGGGGGAGGGGAGTCCGCCGGCTGCCAGAGCGCCAGGACTTTGCACAAATGGGGAAAATACCCTTCGACTGCAGTTTCCCTGAAATGTGCAGGTAAGGGAGAAAGGCAGAGTCCTTGGTACCTTTCAGAGGTCTCCCGGCTGCATTTAAAAGGCATATGTATTCCCTGCAATGGGAAAGATGTTATTTGGGGCAAATTACCCTGGTTTCCAAGCTAATTAAACAGAGAAATCGTCACAAAAAAGTGTAAGAGCTACATAAACCTTGATAACCACCTTTTGGTCTTTGGTATCTTTTGATGCCTAAAAAAATAAATCCATCAGGCTGTGACTTAATTTACATTTGGTAAGTGGTCTGTCCTAGGTGTTACCTTCTTTGGGTTTATTTTTCAAAATTATCCATAGGAATTACACCTGCCATTTAGTGACATTTGCTTTGCTAAGCCTATTTCTCTCCCCTCAAAGGTGGCCTCTGTCTCATTTGGTTTTGGGCACCCCTCTAGGTAGGATTACCAGGTCCTTTGGCAGACCCAGGTAACGAAAGAGGTCATGTCCTCTTCAAAGTTGGGCAGCGTTGGACCAAGGGCCAGGAATGGGTGCCCTGAACCTTGGCATCCAGGTCAGTGGCCTAGGGAATCAGCAGGGAGAGCTTTAACAAAGCGATGAGTCTCCCTGCTCTCCTTGAAGAAAGCTATTCTAGGACTTTCTCAGATTTCCTGGGAGCCAGTGGTTTCATAGTGTCAAGTTCCTGAAAGCTATTTGAAACACAAATTGATTCTTTAGAGCCAAAGGAGCCCTTTGCCCCACTACTAGGCATGGAGACCAATTCTGCCTGCACCTTCGGAACCTCATG